CTCCTGACAGAATTCCTTTGCAAGACTGGACGTTTCTGGATGTCCTTTGGCTTATCACAGCAACGGCATTTTTCGAAGAGTTGAGATTTTTAAAAAATTCTAGGTGATGGCGGATTGGATCACGAACGCATTGTGTCGCTGTGCAGTACGCTGCTCGAGCTGAGCGTCCAGAAATCCGTTATCCCACTGGTGCGCAATGGCACATTCCTCTGCAAAATATTTGATGGTCCAAGGCGTAACGAACTGATCGCACAACTTCAGCAACATTTTGCCAAAGTTTACACTGTTAAGCCAAAAGCTAGCCGTGATCACAGTGCTGAGGTTTACTTGTTAGCACTGAGGAAGCGCGATTGATGGGTGAAAACGAGGCCTTCAAGAAACTCTCCTTTCCCCGTAAGCATCCGATCCGTGAAAATTTCAGGACACCAGGAAGATCAAAAAATCAACCGAAGTAGCTTAACAGGGTCGCCAGAGAGCAACGGATTAAGTTGTGAACTGTTTGTTGATTGTACGCAAATATATGTATATATGCATAAGTCAAGACTTTCCGGACAGTCGGTGTGGGTATTCCTTGTTAGAATAATGTTTTACTGAGGTGCTTCCACAGGCCGCAAACATGGCTTAATCAGATCTCTCGATCCTGAACTGCATATCTCCAGTTAGCAGTATCCACCCCTGTTTGGTATATGTGCACCACCTCTCCAGGGATGGTCCAAGTGGTTCTTTACTTTTTCATAAACTCCACTCACTAATACGCAACTTCCACTGATTGTTAGCAAGGCAAGCGACACATATGTGTGCATATATGCTTTAAAGAAAATTACTTTGAGTCAACGACTTTACGCCGCACATTCTTTATGCATGTGCGATCTTCCGAAAGTACGGGCGTTCTTTGGGCTCTCTTTGAAGAATACTTGAAAAAATCTGTTGCGGATTCTTTTTCTTTTTTTTTCTTTGACTTTTAAAGTGCTTTTGAACGTCTAATATGTAAAAAATTGTGATAAAGTGCAACGAACTTCAGTGTTCTCCCCTCAGTGGTACTTGTACGTGTAGCATCCTTATTCA